GGAAAGAGAAAGGAAGGAAGGAAGGAAGGAAGGAAGGAAGGAAGGAAAGAGAAAGAGAAAGAAAGGAAGGAAGGAAGGAAGGAAAGAGAAAGGAAGGAAGGAAGGAAGGAAGGAAGGAAGGAAGGAAGGAAGGAAGGAAGGAAGGAAGGAAGGAAGGATCTTTTAATTTTCTATCCCCATAGAGAGCACAGGCACTGTGCATTTTTAATGCCCTCTTGACTAAACACCCCTGGTTTTTAAAAATAGGTTTGAAGGCCGCCAAAGATCAGCTGGCCCAAATCCATCCTCTGGCACTCAGGGCCCAGGAGGGATGAAGAGTGACTCTGGATATACCAAAGGGCCAAGGGATAGTTTTGTGTTTCCTGGAAAGGTTAATACAGTATGTCCCGCTGAATGTCACTCTATGAAATAAAGGGAAGAGTACAGATTGCAGGCCATATTTAGAAAGCAGTGAGAGAGTCATAGAGAACAAGGAAATTTTATTTATGGCGCTTGTAATGATTGTGGCATGTTAAGTCCTGTGCTGCCAGAATTTACATTAGAGCTTTTTTTAGCTATTATTTTTTTTAAATAATTACACTCGTGCTCCTCCAAATGTCCCAAACTTTATTTTTAATTCCACAGCCAGGCACGTATCTGCTTGCCAAGGAGCCAACATCTAATCCTGACTTGGGTGTGAGGGCGTGGGATGTACCCACTGATATAAATTCATAGACTGGGAGGAAAATCCCAAATTCGTAATTTATAACCGGGATCCTGTCATTTAGTAGTTTACCTTCTGGCTCTATAACAATAAATTGTGAAAGTAGGGTCAAAGTGGTACATCGCTCCGGTTGCCAATTCTCCACAACTTATCATTTTATAGTCTTGGGGGAGGCTCAAATCTTGCTGTTTTATTAAATAATAAAGCTAAGCAGATTTCAGTTGAGGCAGTGTCTGAAGGAGAGGCCTCCAGGGTGATCTTTGCACAAGTTGCAAAAACAGAGAAAAAGGTAGCAAGATCAGCCAGAGAAAACACACCGAATGTCTCCGATGAAATACTTCAACCCTTTAAAAGCAGGACTCTTAGCAGAAGTGGTGATTAGCCAGGGTTGCAAATTAACTTTCGGTACCATCTAGGTTTGGCAATATTTCTAAGTGCCTTTATTTATTTGCTTTCACAGAAAGAAACACCCCCCCAAAAAAATGGAGAAAAAAAAGCAAAATGTATGGAAAACAAACAGACAATCCAATAACAAACCTAACAAAAGCCAACAGAGAAATAAAACCAGAAAGAAGGCAGAAACTATTTATGTATAGCATAAAACGGATTATCTATCAAATGTCAAACAAGTTTCTAAACCTACATTATTGGGTGTAAATGATATGGTTTTGTTTAAAGTTTCAAAGTGTCATAAAGTCGATGCCTAAGGAGAGGTGTGTTTTTTTTAATAGATAAAATTAAATAATAGAGGTTTAATAGAGGTTTTTTTAAATAGAGGTTTAATAGAGGTTGTTTTTTTTAATAGATCCAGGTTTTTTTTAAATAGATAAATGCGGCTGGATTTTTTAAAATTGATTTCTTGGTGTATTTATTTGGAAAATGGATATGACTGTCCATCTTACAAACTGTTGTGGTCTGGAAACGGCAGCAGAGT